CTGTCATGCTTACGAAATGTCTGCCAAAGGCGGGATTCTGTGTGCAGACACAGAACTCAGGAGGTGGCGATGCATAGGAAAGACTGCATAGGATCAAGCTGGATCCCCAAAATATGCTTGTATAAATCATTCTGTTCTAGAGCAGAAACTTAAACTGAGGTTTTTAGGAGAGAACGATTTGCAACATAACAAAAAGTATGCAGGATTGAGACAAAGGTACAGCCATGAGAGAGAAAGAGAGAGCGGGAGGGAGGGAGGGAGGGAGAGGTCTTTCATCCCCTTTGACCCTCTGGTGAGTTCTCAGTTCATTTTGCCCCCTAAAATGGGCAGAGGAGGAGTAAGTTCTCCCATCCACCACCAACTAGGAGCAGTCCTCACTTGTTCAGAATGAGAGCCGAGCTGATATGCCTCTAGTTGTCTCTTCTGCGGACTTTTCCACATGGATGGACAGCGTGCTGACCCCAACACCTCTGAGCCCCACGCTAGCATAAGCCCCACTTTACAGATGAACAGATGGAGGAACAGGGAAGACAGGCTGGCCAGAGGGGTCACAGCTGGCCTGTAATGGAGCCTGATTTCACACTTGCAGCCTCCCATGGCACTCATTAATCCCAACAAATGGGTTTCAGAAAGGCATGGGGGTGACCGGACCTCAGGTGTGTGAACTTGCCTCTCTGGATCATGAGAGCTCTGTGGTAGGAAGCTGAGGCACATTTCTCCTCCAGGTCTGCTCTAGCTAAATGGGGCTTAAACTCCAGGCCTGGGCACTGTCCCTGAGCTTCTTTGGCTCAAGGCTAGTACTCTACCACTTGAGCCACAGCACCACTTCTGGCTTTTTCTGTGTATGTGGTACTGAGGAATCAAGACCAGGGCTTCATTCATGCTAGGCGAGCATTCTACCACTGAGCCACCTTCCCAGCCCTCTAATCCTACTTATCTTTTTATCTCCATTTTTTTCTCCCTAGCTAACGATATAAATGCCTCTATTTTTATTTACTTGTTTATTTTGCGTGTGTGTGTGTGGCAGTACTGGTGTTTGAACTCAGAGCCTTGCTCCACCATTTGAGTCACACCTGTGTAGCTCTTTTGGCTTTAGTTATTTATTTGGAATAGGGGCTCATGTTTGTTTGGGGTTTTTTTCCACCAGACTAATCTTGGACAGATCCTCCTACTCAAGTAGCTGGATTAACAGGTGTGTGCCGCCATGCTTAGTTTACTGGTTGAGATGGGTTCTTGCTAACTTTCCGTCCAGGCTAACCTTGAATCATGATGCTCCCTATCTCTCCCTCGTGGGTAGCTGACATTACAGATCGGTACCACTGTATCCAGCAAGTTCTGTCTTTTGAAAGATTTCTAGGAAATGACATTCTATTCCTTCCCGTCCAGACTCATGATCTAATTAATGTTAGGAATAAATATTGCCAGGAAGTTTTTCCTACCGTCTAACTCCCAAATCTCCAGCTAGAATAAAAATAGTGTGTAGAGTAGGCTTCAGTTTTGAGGAGGGGTCGTTTTGGATCCTAACAACGGGGGTTTCATTCTCTAGCCCTGACATTCAGGAATGGCCAATCACAGGCTTTAATGGGATAGCTTAAATTATAGAGGACCAAGTTAGAAAAAAAAAAGGTGGGGGGGAATCCAACTCTCAGCATGGGTATTACAGCTGATAATTAATTATGGGCTGTTTGTGAGTATTGCTGGAGCTAGAGGTAGCTGGTTAGGATACCCAGTGTGCCCAGGAAAGAAGTCCAGCCTGTACATGTCAAATCAGGGCAGTTGTGTTGTACGGCTGGACCCTGTTGTACTTCCCCCTTACCCCCCTTCTACTTCTCCCCTCCCCTCCAATCAAGGGAGGAACTGCCCTCCCTAGCTCACTACCCTCACCCCTCCAACACTTGGAGGGAGGAAGGGGGGAGTGATTAGCATAGGGCATTGTCCCCGGATAATGGGCCCCAGCTGCCTCATGAAAGAAGAGACAAAGCGCCTGGCGGCTCCACAGGCATTATCCCCTCGTTAAATCTCTGTTATTAGATTAGATTCAAAATGTATTGATTTAGAGGCTGGGAGGGGGGAGGGAGGAGAGGGAGGAGAATCTGGATTGCAATCTGAACCACACTCCCTCCCCCCGCCCCCCACATCTTCACCCGCCAGGAAACTTTTCCTCCTTTCTGTTATCTGGGGGGGAAAATTCCATTCAGTCTCCTTGCCTGGGCTCTCCTGAAAATGGTGGAGTGTTCTGCATCCTGTTGATGTTTTGAGCACAAGATGGCCAGATTTCAAGGGGAAAGGAAAAAGGCGGCAATGTCTCTCCTGGAGGGCAGGGGCAGGTGGATCTCCAAAACAGGACCATCTGTGACCTTGCAGTAGGGCTGGAGGTACAGGCTGGATACTTCCAACATCTCTGATGGAAATCCAGTTAAATAACTATGAAGAAGGATGGGTGGGGAAGTAGATGTAAAGGCGGGAGGAGGGGGATGATGGGAAAGTGAACTGAGATGTCAGAAGCATGTATTTATAAAGTCCTTTCCTGCCTCTCAGCATGGATGGGTCAAGGGGGCTAGAGGCGGGAAGGAAGCAGGTTCTGGGGGGTATACTACATGGAAAGGCAATTCTGAGTGTGCATATTCTGATTAAGAGAAGACTAAAATCAGTTTTTCCAGACAAGAGTTGGTTTACCGGAAGATTCTCTGGGTCTGGCCTCAGTTTCCCATCTCTGGGCATCACGGCCCAGATACTCAATCGATGGGCTGATTGTATGGGACTAGTGAAGCAGAAGATGTTACACGTGGTGGTGGCTCATTCTCACGGTGGTTAATTGGCTACCTCAATGCAGGGCTCTGTTGCCCCATTGATTATGGGTGAAGGGTGAGGAGGGGGAGATGGGAAATCGATAGGTTGATTAGTGTCTTACTAGCTCTCTGGTTGAACACTTTGTCAATAGCCAGGCACTTACTGGCCAGTGGTGCATTCACAGTGCCAGGCTGCCCACCCTCTATCCCTGTGGCCAATGACATGGAGACCCGCTAATAACATGATTGGTCCATTCAAGTCCCAGGAGGTGGGACCTGAGGCCCAGTTATAACTTATGGGCTGCAGGGGCCATCCTGAGAGAGGAGAGGTGATCAGCCCCCATCTTTGGCCCCATCTGACTGTAGCCAAAGGCAACAGTTGTGAGTGGGGACCAGTCTTCACCATCATAACCCACTGCTGTTTGCTAAAAGACCCAGATCTCCATTCAGCAACAAAATAAAGAGTGTTCCTTTGTGTGGGGTAGAGGTGGCAGACGAAACCTCATTTCCCAGTGAGTCGTCAGCTAAGCTAGATGACTGCTCTCCCTTAGCCTCTGAGCGCCTCCAGACACAAAGAATCAGTGCAGCCTATAGCCAGCCCCCTGGATGTTGTAGGAAATAAAAGCACAGCATTTGGGGTTAGGGGACTTGTATCATGTTTCGTTGTTCTGGGATTGCCTGGCTTGGAACAATTTATATATGGAAGTGTTAGAAATCACCCCCAGCTATTTCTTGGAGGCGGGGGAGCATCCTGTCCCACTAGACTGGCAACATTTAATCTTCTTCTGCCATGCTTTCCTTTGACTGACCAGCAGTCTAAGACAGAGAGAAGGGTAAGCCCTATCTATACATTATAGACACCAAATCAGATCGTCTTTAATGGGATCTAGATTTCCTCATTTCTGAATGCATGGTAGGTGGATGAAGTCCTAGTCCAAGTGTTCCTCAACACATCTTAAACTCTAGTGTCTAGAACAGAATATTTTTTTAAAATTGTTATTCCAACTTACTTCTCTCAGAGTCTTGCTTTCTAGCAGAGATGGGTGAATCCAAGACTAGGCTGTTTTCCACGCCCCAAACCAATGGGTGCTGGCCATGGTGCTGAACTTCTTTTCTGCATTGCAGGACACTCTTACAGGGAGAGAGCTTGCTTCCAGTTTCAGGTAGACATCATGAGCTATTAATGATCATGGTTCTGGCCCCCACACCAATAACCCACCTGCTATTGTTTCTCTCTCCTGATGGCTACCAATTCACTTCTCAGTTTCCTAGACCAACCAATGGAAACTACAGGTAATCCCTTCCTTCTTCCCTCCCTCCCTTTCTCCCACTCCCCCCTCCCTCCCTTCCTTCCTCTCCTCCCCCTCTCTATCCTTCCTTCTGTCTTTGTGGGTACCTGTTCTGGGGCTTGAATTCAAGATGTGGGCGCTGTCCCTGAACTTTTTTGCCCAGGGCTAGCACTCTACCACTTGAACCACAGTTCCACTTTCAGCTTTTTGCTGGTTAATTGATTTTCTGGCCTGGGTTGGCTTCAAACTAAGATCCTCAGATCTCAGCCTCCTGAGTAGCTAAAACTATAGGTATAAGCCGCTGGTTCCAAATCTTATTTCAAACTGGAGCTTTAAAGTACATCTTCCTCTTTCTCTATTCCTTCCTCAGAGGTACTGGCAAACAGACGACAAGAGAGTTTAAGGCTTCATTGCACTTTATTACCCCAACCATGCCCCTTCAGCTGATGGAGCATGAATGTCAGGACATGAATGTCAGGATGATTCTCAGAAAGAGAATTTGAGGGGTTAGATTGATCAGGTACCCGGCAAGAGAAGGTTAAGTTTGTTTTTCATCTAAAAACAAAGCTGGTGGAAATGAGCAGAATTCCGAGTATCTTATTCAGGGAAGTGCCAGTGGAGAAACTGAGATTTGATGCTTAGTAAATCAATGAGGTGAAGTTAGGGGATGCTTGGGGTTTTTTCTGATCTAAGCTAAGCAGGTTTGAAAGTCATCACAGGCAGTTGGCAGAAGACAGAAGGGTCTTTCAGCGCTACATCGCTGGGGAGAAGGACTCAGATTCTGATTTGGCATGGCTTAGCTGAACTGGCATTGGGAATGGATAAGATTGTATCTGTATCTTGAGAATATTCCTGACACTTCCCTGGCACCGAAGGACCTACACATAAATCCTTGCCCTACTCCTTGCTGGACCGTGCCCGCTCAGGAATAATGCCAGATCGACCAGAGAGTGACCAAGGTGATACTATAGGCCAGCACTGCCAGCAGGTAGATGCGGAAGAGCAGCTTGTCCAGCACGGACCCCACATGCAGCCAATCTCTGGCCATCTCCCGGATCTCCTCCCGTTTCTCTAGGAAGTGCCGGATGGAGGATAGCTCCTGCAACAGCCCGCGCACAGCCAGGGAGGCTTCCCGAGGAGGTGGAGGGGGGCTGCCTCTGCCTCTCATGCTCTTCTCCAAGTCTTGGGGTCCCTCCGAATGGTTGCAGTGGTTTCCCAAAACTGGAAGAAGAACAGAGTGTTGGTAAGGCAGGGACACTAGTGGCAACCTGAACATTGCTTCTCCTGTTTCTATAACCAACTTTTATTCTGACTCATTTCAGACATAAATGACGCACAGTGAATAACGATCGAATTTCATACCTACCATCCACCTCAAACTCCATCGAAGACTTGTGCCCACCCTTCCATAATCACACTCCCCACATTTTCCACAAGTCATCACAATCATGAAATTCATGTTTATCTGTCCCATGGTTTTCCTTAACTGCCTGGTATCCATTATTTCATTTGAGCCTTTCCACAGCCCCATGAGAAAGGCCAAGTAGGAATAATTCCCACCTGCCCCCCCCACCTCCACTTTCCTGTGATAGTGCTGACGTTCAGAGAGGTTAAGAGATTCCTGCAGCAGAAACATCATGTAATGACAAGATCACTGAAGCCAAATCCTCTGTTCTCCGTTACATCCTCTGCCTTAAGCAGATAGCTCCTCTCCAGTCTCCTCCTCTCCAGGAGTTTCTGTCCTTCTGGACCCAGAAAATATAGCATCTTCAAAGATGCTGACCTCCACCAAGTGAAGTAGAACACTAGGATGGTATGTTAGTTCACCAACTCATGAGACAGAAAGATAGCAAGACGGACCAGAACACTGTAAGATATCTGGACATAGCCAGGAAGAACAAAAAAAAAAGTGGAGTGGGAAAGAATAATTCAAGACATGAGCCTAGAGTTTGATGGGCCTGGGTTCAAATCACCATTCCTCCAGTTCTTGGCTCTGGGATCTAGGGCAAGATATTTATGCTTCTGTTTCCTCATTTGAAATAGGAGGCTATAGCTGGGTACCAGTGACTCATGCCTCTAATCTTAGCTACTCAGGAGGTTGAGATCTATGGATCATGGTTCAAAGCCAGCCTGGGCAGAAAAGTCCATGAGACTCTTATCTCCAATTAATAAGCAAAAAGGCAGAAGTGGCTCAAGTGGTAGAGCACCAGCCTTGAGTGAAAAGTTAAAAGTTAAAGGAGAGTGCCCTGTCCCCCACACACACATGAGATGAGTCCTATTACATGTGATAATTCACACGCCTAGCACAAAGGGCTCAATGAATGAACCAATCAACCAAACACCAACAACACCAATGAAGACATCTTTAACAATTCCTCAGGAAGAAGAGGCATGAACTCCACACTTACTGTGTCTTTGAACGCCTGTCTCTGTCTCAGAGATGTTTGAAAGTCCGAGGGACCTCATCTTTAAGCTGTTTGCAATGAGAGAGTTTTAGCGATCCCACCTGCAGTATTTACCCATCTGCAGCATGGAGAAGAGCATCCCCGTGTCCTTACTACAGGTCAACCTCAGAGGCCATGTCCAGCCTAGAGGGCTCAGCTCCTGACAAGGCTCAGCCTGCAGGCTCCTGCCATCACTGATGAGCTGATGAGCATGTGAAAGTGGAGCAAGGATCTGGGATGAGATGTCTGGCCAAGTCTACCTACTCCCAGTATGGACAGGCATGGACACCATACGTAGGGCTGAATGAAATTCCCAGGCCCTGCCCAGGATCCTCGGCATACCGCACCCTCTCTCACCTGAGCAGTCATCGGTCTTGGGGGTCTGGGAGGCAGCTGGGGGCCTGTGGGAGGTGGGCCACTCTCCCAGGCACATCAGCCAGGTGCCTCTCTCCAGGACCAGACGCCGCAGCCAGGCAGGCACCGGCTGCTGCAGATCTTGCTTATGTACCAGCCGCACAATGAGGATGGTCTCGGCCAAGCTTATCACCAGCAGAGCCATGCACACCACAAAGTAGACACCTGTGCGCCCCCGGGGTGGGAGGGGGAGGGGAAAAAGACACACATACAGGAAATGGGAGGGGGCAAAGCCTTCCGCCAGACTGGGCTTCGTCCCCTAGCAGAGGCCTTACCAATGAGGGGCGTGCCAATGGCGGTGGCCGGCAGGGTGTCGGACACAATGATCAGGAAGACTGAGTAGCCCAGGAGGAGGGTGATTTTGAAGGAGACCCTCTCACCACTGTCCGGGGGCAGGTAGAAGCCCACGATGTCCATGATCATAAGGAAGATACTGGGCAGCAAAAGGCTGACGGCATAGAAGAGGGGCCGCCGGCGGATGACCAACTGTGGCCAGGAGAGAGGAGTTTGAAGAGGCTCAAATTCAGCACACACAGGCTCTAACCCAGGAACTACTACCCCAACCCACATCCCCTCTCTTTGTGGAACTTCCGGTCTAGATTACCCAGGGAAGGAAATGGGCAGAGCTTACATCTATACAGAACAAGTAGGTTCCCCCATCTAATTCACTGAAGATCCAGGGTCAGTGTGACACTCTGATGTTTGTGGGGGAAGCTATGTGGTCTTTCCCAGCACATAGGCCTCCCTAAATCCCCCATGGATGGTGGGAAGGTCTAGTAACAATGGGCACCACTTTAATATCCCCCCCCCCCCACACACACCACCGCTACTCACGTAGAACTTCATTTCTGCATAACAGTCGCTGCTCTCCATAGTGAACTCCCGAAACTGGGTCAGTACCGCCAACAACTCCCACTCGCCCTGATTCATGAAGATGCTCTTGTCAGACTTCACTTTGTCAGGCAAGCGCCACAGAGAGATGTTGATGTCTTGGACTGTGAGAGACCAAAATTAAATAAATAAAGCCAGCCTTGGACTTCAGGGCCCTGAGAATGTGGCCCTGTGAAGATGGAGCATGAGGTGAGCCTAACAAGGCAAGGCCCTGAGTTCAAACCTCAGTACACCATAAAAAGAGAGAAGGAGCTGGTGGCTCACACCTGTCATCCTAGCTACTCAGGAGGCTGAGATCTGAGGATCGTGGTTCAAAGCCAGCCTGGGCAGGAAAGTCCGTGAGACTCTCATCTCCAATAAACCACTAGAAAACTGGAAGTGGTGCTGTGGTTCAAGTGGTAGAGCACTGGCCTTGAGATGAAGAGCTCAGAGACAGTGCCCAGGCCCAGAGTTCAAGCCTCATGACCGACCAAAAGGAGAGAGAAAGAGAGGGGGGGGAGTAAATAAAAAAGAAGACTTAAAAAAAAAAGACCATAGTTTCCTCTTTCTTTGATGCTATTAACTTGAGTAGTTACATTGAAATTTTGAAACTACTGGTGGTACTGGTGATACTGGTGATAGAAAAGCAGTATTTTTTATTTATATATTCAGGGTACTATTTAACATGACCTGAAGATATTCAGCATGTTTATTTGTTATTATAATGATGGTGTGCTTGGTTTTGTATGTAATAAAAACAATTCCTGTTCAGTTTTTGTGAACTTGAATTTGTTATCTTTAAAAAACGAAGATTAAAAGGTGAGAAAAGGGTTAGCTAGTCAGGTGGAGGAGCAGATGAGCAGCAGGAGGGGTCGGGGTGGGGTAGGTAGCCTAGACGAGGAAACAGCATGAAATAAAGAAAAAAGCAGGAGTGACTGGGTCTCCTGGGCCTCCAGGAAGGCAGTTCGGCTGGCCTGGAGTTTGGGGGCACAGAAAAAGCTGAGGCGCTGCCCTGCAGGCAGGGTCAGGTCAAGGATTTGGACTGTGTCCCAGGACTGCTGGGAAGTCACGGAGGGATTAAGTGACACAATTGGATTTGCATTTTAACACAAGTTTGCTGACTGCTGAACTAGAGGGAGACTGAACTAGAGGGAGACAAGAATGAATGGAGGAGACCAGATTGGAGGCCAATGCAAACTCCTGGGCTGGAAGTGAAGGAGGCTTGGCTGGAGAATGGGTGGGGGGCGGGGGAGATGATGAAGAGAAGTGGGTGGGTCTGAGGGACGTTGAGTGCAGATGATTGTGGCATCTTGGCAAAGAATTGTCCCTTCCTTCGCATCTTGTGGTTGATTCACACTATGTCACTAAATTCTCACACCTGAGGGAAGCAGTAAGGGCAGCAATGTTGGCCTTGTTTGGAGGAAGAAGAAACAGAGGCCCTGTGACATTAAGAAAATAAGTACCAGAGTCAGGCATAGTGCCTGGATTCACAGAACTCAGGAGGCTAAGGCAGGAGGACCAGGAGTTTGAGGTCAGATTGGGCCACATACAGAGATACTGTTGAATATTCACCTATTAATATTAACTTATTGATTGAGATGGTATATGTCATGTCAAAGAACCGCTAAAATGTGTTTGTGTCTTACTTTTTCCTGAAACAAATGCAATCTATAACTTAGCACTAAATTTTAGGGGAAATAATTAGTATTTAGTATTTGAACTTTGGATGGCAAAATCACTAGGATTTTATCAGGAACTATTTGGAAGATTATATTGCTGCCTTTTTAATAATCTAAAGTCTTTCTTACTGTGATATAAATATGGTGATTAAACTATGTTTGATTATAAAAACTAAGATCATGAAATTTAAAAAAGAAAGGAAGGTAAATGAAAGAAAGAGAGAAAGAAGGAAGGCAGAAAGCAAGGAAGAGAAAGGGAGGCAGAAAGCAAGGAAGAGAAAGGGAGGCAGAAAGAAAGGAAGAAAGAAGAAAGGAAGAAAGAAAGGAAAACTCAAAGAAAGAAAGAAAGAAAGAAAGGAAGGAAGGAAGAAAAGAAAAGAAAAAAGAAAGTAAGGAAAAATAAGGAAAGGAAGGAAGAAGAAAAAAGGAAAGGATGACAAAAAAGAAGAGAGAAAAGAGAAAGCAGAAAGAAAGAAAAAGAAAGGAAGGAAGGAAGAAAGAAAGAAAGACCAAGGAAAGAAAGGGAGGAAGGAAAGAAGAAGGAAGAAAGGAAGGGAAAAGGAGAAGAGAAGGGAGGGAGGGAGGAAAAGAATGTAACTAGTGAGTTAAATAAGCTACTTAGAGAAAGGTTTGGGTGTCTCTGGAACCCCCAAGTCTGCCCCACCCCTCCAAATCCGAATACTCACTGGTGTGCAGCCAGCTGGTGAAGGTCAGGGAGCAGTTCTGTACGTCGAAGGGGAAGTTGTAGATGTTGAGGCTGCAGGCGGTCACCACCTGGAAGGGCTTGTAGTTCTGCACCTCCCCCTTGTGCTGGACATACACGTACGGAATACTTGGAGACTTCCCCATGTCCACGCTGGCCAGGGAAGAGGGGACAGTAATTTGGGGACCCAGCCCTGAGAGTCTGATGATCTCTGAGAGCCCAGCAGGGAAAGGAATTAAGGGAAGGTACAAGTAGCAGGACAGTTTAGTCTGGTCTGTTTCCCTAGGCTTCCTGGCCCACCGATGTCAATAAATGCTGCTGCTCCCTCACTCAACCTAGCCACAAAAAGGAGTGAAAGAATCCATGGGCCTCCATGCTACTAGCTATAGAAAGCTTGCCTAGCTGACCCCATGTTACCGGCTACCCCTGGACAGGGCAGAACTCTGCTCCCAGAGCCATTGGAACTGTGGGAACAGCCAGTCCTTGGTAGGAGAACAGAACCTTGTGTTTCATCTGGTCTCTGATTTCTCTTTGCTTCCCATTCCTAGAAGTCTCGAAAATGAAACCATTACTTTAAGAGGGAACTGGAGAAATTATGGATAAGAACTGGGGAATGTAGAGGTTGAGGCATGGCTGCTTGGGTTTAGAGTGCCAGCCAATGAGCAAAAGCCAGCTTCAGACCCTGAGTTAGAGTCCTGATCATGGACCAAAAAGAAAAAGAAGGAAGGAAGGAGAGAAAGAAAGAAAGACAGAAAGAAAGGAACCCAACATTTGAGGGTTGGAGGTGTGGCTTAGTTGGTACAGCAGCACCAGTCAATGAGTGAAAGTGTCAGGTACCAAGTTTGAATCTTAGTCTTGGACCAAGAAAAGAAAAAAGGAGGGAAGGGGAGGGAAAGGAAAGGAAGGGAAGAGAAAGGAGGGAAGGGGAAAGGAGGGAAAAGGAGGGGAGGGGAGGAAGGAAGGAAAAAAAATTGGAGAATCTCCTGGCCTTCTTACTGGTCCTGGACCCCTAGGTTCTACCAGCAATCATAGTGGCACGAAGTTCCACATGCCAGAAATGAGAAGTTCAAATTAAAGCTGAGAGATGAGAAGTCCAGATTCAAGCTCCATCACCGTTGGAAGTGCACTTCCAGCCAGAAATGGATTTCCAAGGCCCTGCGCTCTGCAGGGCACTGAAGAGTCTGGCCAGTGTCAACTGCCTCTCTTGGGAGAGGGCCCGTGCAGTGTGTGCTCGGTGGAGTCCCTTGTCACTTTTTCCCTTCTCTCTTTCTCCCCACCCCCATTTGCCTTGCCTTGGAACAGAGAAGTCCAATTGGTGGACCCTGAGTGAGCCTACAGGATGAGGAGGCCTGCTGGCCGAGGCCCATGTCTGGTGGCTGAGAAGAAAGGCTTAACACCCTACTTCCTGGCAATCTAGGGCCTGGTAGGCACGTGTGTGGCTTGGGAGATTTGAATGAGTTCCTTGGCTCAGAATCTCCCCTGTGGTCAGGAACAGTGGCTGCCATCCATGTGTTCCATCCCTTTCAAAGACATAAGTGTCCCCTTTAAAAATGCAGCTGTCTGCATTAGGCTATTAGAACGCAGTGTGAACTCATTCACTGGCTTCTTTCCCCATGGCAGGGGTCCTTGGACTAATCAGTATAGAGTTTCAACATTAGGCACAGAACAAAAGGAGTTGGTTTGTTGTGTTTTGTTTAAAAAAAAAATAAAAAGGGAAGGGAAGGAAATAAGACAACGAACTTGAGTTCAAGTGCACTTGGACCTACCGTCTGCAAGTTTGGATGGGACGTGTCAAATGCTGAAGTAGGAGGTCTTGTCTCCCAGCACCTAACTTACTTTACCCCCTCCCCACTCTCCCAGCCTCTGGTAACAGTACTCACAACTCATTGATGAGAATGTCTGGGACCCAGATGCTGTCTGTAGGGATGGACAACTTGGTGATGTTGTCAAAGTCCTCGGGATTCCACTGGAGAAACTCATCAGTCCAGAACTAGGGAGAAGCAGACACAATCATGGGCCACTCTTCCATCTCATCGCTGCAAATTTCCACCCCTCACGCCCAGGAAGGCAGGCATCCTCTCAGAAAAATCTGGGTGTCGATGGGGCTCACATCATCCCACAGTCTCTGAGAGTACCCACCCCCACCCCACACTCACACTCCCTGCACGCAAATACAGGCTTTCTCCAAGACACAATCAGTGCCAGTGTTCCAACACCCCTGACCACCATATGGTGGATTTGGGATAGATAACTTCCTCTGAGTCTTGATTGCATATATATAAATGGGGATCCCTTAACACCCAGCTCACAGGATAGAGATGATTATTACAAACTTTTTTTTATTTGTGTCAAGTCATGGGGCTTGAACTCTGGGCCTGGGCGCTGTCCCTGCGCTCTTTCGCTCCAGGCGAGTGCTCTACCGCTTGAGTCACAGTACCACGTCCAGTTTTCTGGTGGTTTACTGAAGATGAGTCTCAGGGACTTTCCTGCCTGGGGTTAGTTTCAAACCATGATCCTCATATCTCAGCCTCCTGAGTAGCTAGGATTACAGGTGTGAGCCACCCGTGCCTGGCGGTTATGGCTAACTTTTTTTTTTTTGTCGGTCGTGGGTCTTGAACCCTGGGCTTGGGTGCTGTCCCTGTGCTCTTCAGCTCAAGCTGAGTGCTCTATCGCTTGAGCCACAGCGCCACTTCTGGTTTTCTAGTGGTGTATTGGAAATACGAGTCTCACAGACTTTCCTGCCCAGGCTGGCTTTGAACCCTGATCCTCAGATTTCAGCCTCCTGAGTAGCTAGGATTACAGGCGTGAGTCACCAGTGCCTGGCATATTGTTAACTTTTGATCAATGTGTTTTCTTCTCTCCTACCCAAAATGGCAGGTCTAAAGTATAAATTGGACCCTATGGCTCCCTTGTGGAAAATTCTTCAATGGTATTCCATTGCCTGTAGGATAAAGTTAAATCTCATGGCCAAGAAAGTTCCCCACTTAGCTCTCTAACCTTCCACCTTAATCACCTGCACTGGGGACAGATCCCAGGGCCTTGTCTATGCTAGCACATCAGGCCAGGTATAATTTGGTCAGTCTTCCAGACCTAGCCAAGGACATCTTCTGTAACCCTGGCTGTCTCCTCTGTGCTCCTCTGGTCAGCATCTCATCCTGGTCATGCTGGGTGAGATGTCATCTTGCATTTCCAAGATGTCCGTGAGACTGCTCCTCTCCCTAGTTGGTGAGCTCATGTGGGCAGGGCCTGAGTCTAGTTTGTGCCTATAATTTCAGTCCCTTAGCACAGTTACTGGCACACGATAGATTGACCTTCCTTCACTGCTGACTGAAATCAGTTGGGCAGACAAGTGACCAGGAGACTCTGGAGTATTCTAGAGAAAGGAACTCTAGGCCTGCTCTTGTTTGGTTCTTCACTGTGACATGGGGCATGCTCTGGACTGGAGGTTCCATCTTTGATGCAGAAATGGGGCTGTATCTCAAGGATCATGATTCTAGCTGCTTCCTTGACCCCACCCCCTGTCCTATAAGCTGGTAATGCCTATGACAGAGGAAAGAGTTTCATAGAGACCCACACATGCCAGCTATGTCTGCACAGCTTTTGGGGGTTGGTCTCAGGAGTTGTCCTCACCTGGCGCCCCTCCTCAGCTACTTTCATGCTCCTTCTACTCTGACTTCTCCCCCATAACCCTAATGGCTGCCACAGCAAAAACTGCTGGTAGGCAGCAAACTCCTGTTTACCTCCCTCTCCTGCCAACTCAGGACCAGAGTTTGGACAAGGCTGCCTGACCCAGGCACATCAGAAGCTGGACAAATGGAGACAAAGCCAAGCTGTGAGGGATAAGGGGATGGACCTGTCCTATTTCAATCACTCCATTGAGTGGCTGCCCAAATTGGCTTCCTAGAGGAAAGAACTTTCTAGCAGTTAGAGCTGTTGGCTTGACAGTAAAGTTGCTACCTTGGGTGAGTTCCCAGTTAGGAGACAATCCTTCTAGCAATGTTGGGCATCACTTGTCTGGGATGCTACAAAGAACACATCAGAGGGAGATTGAGGGGTTTTTTTTCCCTCCTTTACCAGTGAGAAGATTCCAGACTTTTGCCTGGGGTCTCACCCGAAGTCTCTCCTTCCCACCTTCCCTCACCAATACCCTGGAGATCCCTAATGTGTTCAGATGGAGAAGTTTCTCCCTGAGAGAAGTCGTCCCCAGACCAAGAAGTGGGGTAGGAGAGGGGCCGGCCAGCTCACCTGACGGTACCAGATGTAAGTGGTCAGGACCTGATTCTTCTCATCCTGTGAAAGGAAAGGAGGCTCAGGCAGGTGGCCCTGCACGTGCCCCACCCCCTTCCCTCCAAGGAAAGGCTTCACTCTGGGGGCCAGCTCACCACACTGAGGATCGCATAGATGATGACGTCAATGGAGATGGTGGTGGGCTTCCTCCAGTCCCTCACAGGCCGCACCCCCTTCTTGTAGTGGGCCAGGAGGTGATCGGACAGCCTCAGCAAAGCAGGCAGGGTGTTGTTGCGGGCCTGGGGAGCCCCCTTCCGTCTGGCTGGAAAGCAGAAGAGCTCCATGTGAAAACCTTCCCTGGTTCTGTTGCTCTAGACTTGTTTTGCTTTTAAATGTTTATGTCTTGTCTTGTAGTGGTACAAAGGAGTTGCCATTCACCAGAGCAGTTTATGAATACAACGCCTCTTGATCAATGTCACCCCCTTTCAACAACCTCATCCAGCCCTCCCACCCCACTCCTTCCCTTACTTATCTTAATTTTAGGTTATGTATGGAATCCCCCTCCCCCTCCCCCCCTGCTCCACCAATTAACAAAGAAAGTTGATGTGTGTAATGCATCTTTCTCTGTGTCACCATCTTGCTCTAGTTTTCAAGCGATAGAAAAGAGTGCATTCCTACCTTACATAATTTCCCCCTACCACAGACTAAAATTCCCAACATGACAACAGTTTATAGAGATTCCTGCTGAACTCCTAAAGGATAGTCTCCTGAGAGTCCTGTGTACTCATTTACCAGAGAGGCCCCAGAAAGTTGGAAGGGAGGTAAGCCTCCTGGGCCTGGGCAGTTAGAGGGCAGTGGGTGGGTGAGGCTGTATGTGATTGACAGGGAAGAGGACTCTGGGGGAGAATGGCTGCAAGTGTACAGGTCCACCGGTCTGTGCCAGGTTTTCCTTAACCAAGGTCAGATCACAACTTGGACACAGCTCATTGTCTCTTCCTTCACCCCAGCCTGAAACTGGGGAAGAAAGAAGGAAGATAGAAATCCCATAAAAGGAACATGTATTCCTTCTCTCTCCCACCAAAGCCACACATGGCCCAGGGGGCATTGACCAGGTTCTTTCTCTAGAGTGGGGAGGTGGGCAAACTGGACAGGACTTGGCAGGAAGTTGAGACAAGAAAGAGTCAAATTGCTCTGAGGCCAGGATGTTCCAGGGATAAATGCCTAGACCCTGGGCCTAGACCATGGAGATTTCACAGGCACCCGGGTTTCCCTCTGGGGAATCGTGAGAACACTTCTAGAAGGGGGTAGTGAACATGGAGGTGGACATGTGAGGGTAGGAAGGAACACAGCCAGAGGCCAGAGACAGCTGCAAAGAGGAGGTGGGCCAGCAGGTCTTGGCTTCCAACTCAACAACATCCCTCCATTCAGCCTGCCCTCACTGGTCCACTTGGCAATGGTCAGTCCTGCAGGTCTCCCTCCTGTGTCTCGCTTGCCCACCCCTGCTATGCTTCCTCACTCCCTCAGAAGCAGACACCAGCTGGGAGAGAGAGAAGCCAAGAGACAGTCCTGTGGGTCTCCTTCAACATAACGTCCCTTACCATCATCTTCATTCCTATCTCAGAACAGCCTGCCGGCACAGCTAACATGACGGCTCATTTTATACACAAAAGACCCCTCTCCCCAAGACACAAGAGAGTGAGCACTAGGCCTTGTGAATGGGGGAACTGGGAGTCAAGCCAGATCCTATGTCCCTGCACAGGTCCAACTGACTGAGACTGACTCACTTGAAGAGTGAAGCTGATTCACCCCAGTTAGTTTCAGAGCAAAGCAAAGCCAGGGCTGGGAAGACAGAGAAAAACCCAGACACCCATCATACATACATGTATATATGTGCGTGCGCGCGCGTACACACACACACACACACACACACACACACACACAGCCCCAGATCACTCATCATTTGCAGCTTTGTCTTTCCTTCAACCATCACACTTCCCTGATGACAGCTTTGTGGTAGAGGAGTGGAATAAAATCATGCCCCCCACCCCCATAGCCCTTCACATCTGTCCTCCCCTAGCTGGCTCAGTGGTGCTCCATCCAACCCAGCTCAGCCGGACAGGAAGCCTTCACATGAGAGAATCAACATGGTTGGCAGCCCAAGAGAAGAGCTCCCTTTGTGACTTTTAATGCCTTGCTTTCAAGAGAGTTGGGAGAAGAGGGAGAAGAGAGAACAAAGAAGTTTGGCTATCACTGGGGCTTAGCCCTGGAAAGAACCTGGAAGAAAGAAAGGTACCGAGGACCAACAATGAGGGAAGGGTCCTCTATTCATTCTAGTTCCTTGTCTGCGGCTGACAAGCTGTGTGATCTTGAGTGAATCACTCCTCTGCTCTGGGCTACAGTTATATCAGGAAAAGCTACATCAAAGAGCTCAAAGGTTCTTTGCAGCTGCCCTTTGATGAGTTTGGGGGCAGAGCAAGGAGGAGGGGATCCCTCTCCTAGCAACTAAGTATTTCACCAGCAACCTCTGGGCTCCCTCCTCAGTGAGCCTCTTATCCCAGGCTCTGGCTTGGCCACAACTGGTCAAAATGCTTACAACTTGGCCTTCCTGAAGCCACATAGTTCCCACTTCTCCTTCTCTCTCCCCTCTGAAGATTGAGCCTCTCTCCCCCTCACCCCGGCTTTCATGTTTCCCGATCCCCCCTTACCTTCTCCCTGTGCCAGCAGCGTGGGGAGGAGCAAAACCAACAGCGCCTGTTGGATCCAGGACATCATGGCCAATGCCCCACACGTGGGAGAGCCTGAGAGCAGAGGCCGAGGCAGAGGGCAGAGTCCCACCAAGAGACAGTTTTCTCACCCTCTTGTCAACCTCCTGTCCCAGCCAGCCTGCCTCTCCAGCTTCTGCCTCACCTTCTGAGGCTGTAGCCTGGCACACACACATACATCCCCCCCCAACACACACACACACCAGAGTTGGGGAGCTGCCAAGTTTTCCTGCAAGCAGCCCTTCAGCTGGATCAGGTTTCAGGGAGGGAGGGCAGAGGGGGAGAGGGAGCCCTCTGGCTGCTGTCATGTGGTAGGAGCTCACTCAGTCCACCCATTGAGCCAGGTGGCTTGGCCCTATTTCCCTAAATCACTTGGAGATGGGGATTGCAGGATCCGGGAGCCGGGTAACTGCTGGGAGGTACACCAGGCTCCCACTGGCATTCGTGTCCTGTCCTAGTGCTGTTTCAGTGTCTCTGAGCTGGCTTGGTAGGATGCTTAGGAGTGGGAAGTCATTCTTTGGCTTCCCCAAGTGAGAGAATATCCCTAGCCACATAGATGACTGGCATCTCTCTAGACAGAGGGAAAGTACCTGGCCTACACCTTTGTCTTTATGCGAATATTCATATGTAAGTAGTGAAACATATAATAAAAATATATTCTAGCCAGGGGCCTGTGGCTTACCACTATAAATCTAGCTACTCAGGAGGCTAAGATCTGAGGATTGGTGTTCAGAGCCAGCCTGGGAAGGAAAGTCCATGAGACTCACATCTCCAATTAACCAGCAAAAACAAAAAAAACAAAACAAAAAAAACAAGAAGAACAAAATAAAATAGAAGTGGAGCTGTGGCTCAAGTGGTAGAGTACTATCTTCGAGTATAAAAGCTAAAGGACAGTGCCCAGGCCCTGAATTCATTGTAATGCATTTATATAATGTATTTATATGCATGATTGCTAGGTAAATAGTGGAAGTGAAAATATAACAGCCATACCTGTTCATTATAGAAATTTACAAAAAAACAAACAACTAAAATCATCCATATCCATGGGCTTACAGCCAAGAGACAATCATTATCAATATTTTTGGTGTATATATTCGTGTATAATTTCATTCCCTAATATGTGCACAACTAAGTAAACATATTACATATAATTTTGTATTGCATATAATTTTGTATTCCTTGCCCCTTTTCTGCATTATAGCATTTCATAAGCGTTTTTAATACCATCCTTTAAATGTGACCGTCTTTGACATAAGTGTTTCTTTCCTCTCTGGAAGTGAAATTGCCAAGTATCTATCCCTCAGATACTTTACTGTGTTCCCAAAAAGTTGTCTAAAGAAAAAACTGCTGTGGATTTCTAGTTGAAGGAGGCCTACCCTAATATGCTATGTGGCTAAATGTGAACTTTTCTACCTCAACTATGTGGAATGTAAGCTAGATATGTATCAATCATGGAGAGCTTTTCAACAATAAAACACATTCATTCTTTTCAAGTTCCTTTTCCAGTTCAATTTAAGTAGAGTATAGAGTATAGGAAGGAAGAATTTTCTGAATTGTAAGTTCAGGGCCCTGTGATTACGTTAAAAGCAAACCAACAACTTTGGCTGGGAGCGAGGCCTCTCCTTACTGGTGTGCATTACAATGTCTGCGTATAGCACGGTACCTTGATGGTGTCCTTTATAAGATCACCAGGCAGAGCTTGGCTCTGCAAGGCTGGGTCCAGCTCGAGCCTGGGCAACCCTTCTCAGGTCATGTACGTTGTCATTTCACAGTTCGTAAACACAAGGAAAATCAGCCCCAAGGATTCCTTGGATGACCAAGGTGTTAGGGTTGGTCAGACAACTCTTCTCCCATTCCCTAGCCACTATTTCCAAATGCTCCACTTTGTACTCTTTGGGTTCCTTGTGCCTCTGCGTCTGTGAGCCCTCCTCTCTTGCTACAAGTTAACCCAGTTGGAGAAAGAAAATCAGGAAGAAGCTTGGAGAACTGACTTAGAAGTGAAAGGAGCTTCATCCCATTCATTTTGATGAATGTGACCAACGCGGTTGATGGTAACTGATTGACCTGCTAGAAAGTCACTCATTTTGAGATGCTGGGCAATTTGAACCTAAGAGTGCTTCACTGGCTTGAAGTCTTCACAACAAGGATTCGGGTTTCTTTTACCCAATCCACCTTTGGAGGCTAACTGGAAATCTCAGCTTCAGGATACTAACCAGTGTCTGGGGAATGGGAGAAGAGTGGTCTGTTATTCAATGATACAGACTGTAATGGTAATCCCAAATGGGTCTGTTATTGCTAAAGAGATATGGCCTTGGTGTATGGGCATAGACAAGTCCTCATCAGTGAGTGGTACAATGCAGTGTGCAGATTTCACAATGTACATGAACAAGAGGAAAAACTCCTCCATCCCTCTGCAGCCCCTTTCTAAGCGGCACGGCCATAATGGAAGTGCACCAGAACACAAGAGGTTTTTACTGGGCTTTTGCTGGGCTTGAGGATGTACTTGCTCCACCAGGAGAGGAAAGGGGCAAGGACAAACAGAAGATAAAACTATATGCGAGAAGCTAACAGATCCAGAGAAAACAAAGGAGGAGTTTAAAAAAAAAAGAGAGAGCAAGAAGAAAAAGAAGAGACAGAAAAAGAAGATAGGTGGAGACTGAGGATGAAAAGAAAGACAGAAGGACAAAGCAAAAGAGGAAAGAGAGAGGAAAAAGAGATGAAAGGAGGAAAAGGAGAGCAAAGTATCTGGAGGTGGTTGACCTATGAACCCAGGGGTCAGAGTGTGGATAGCCCCTCCCTACTACATCATGCTGCAGATTGGACTCTCCACACCGGAGTGGGACTGCCTGCCATGCACACGTGTTAGGACCCATTAAGAAGAGACAGTGACAATGACTAGAGACCTTGTCCCATGGGCCCCCAAGTCTTCATTACTGCATTAACTCCTGAAATCCTCTGGGGTGGTCCAATTGGGTTAGGAGGAAAGAGGATGTCTTGCATGCAGTGTGTGCATTAGGGAATTAGCTCCTTAGGTAACAGGATTAGAGGGAGCCGGGCAGGCCACAGCCTCCGATGGAGATGTATTGCCTGTCTGACAGAGCGACAATCAAGTTTCCCCTGAAGAAACTTCCTATTAATGGATCTGATGACACAGGAGACAGTGTGGGTGGGGGTGGTGTTGGAATTGTGACCAGTGGCGGGGTGTAAATTGCCTCAGATGAAACTGTGGAGTCACTTTTGCCCCTTTTAAACAAGATCAGAATGAGTGTGAGGGCTTGATGAACTCGCTTGGCCCGTGGGGATGAGGAAACAGCAGAGGCCTGGCTAATTTGATTCCCCAACTCTGCCTGCAGACGGCCGGGCTCCACCCAGAGAGTGGAAGCAGACACGCACGCATATGGCAGCAAGCCAGTCTGGGTAATGAAAAGCTCTGGTATTGAGCATTTGTATCCAATACTCCCTACACCCAGGAAAGAGGACTGGATCCCATTCATGGAGGGGTGAAGTTTACGCATGTGGCACCTTCATAGTGTTCCCACGCTCCCCTTTAATTATGCCGTATTGGGGGCTTGAACTTAGAGCCTGAGCTCTCTGTCCCTTGGCTTTTTCACTCCAAGTTAGAGCTCTACTGCTAGAGTCACAGCTCCATGCTTGACTTTTTGCTGGTTCATTGGAGATAAGAGTCTCACAGACTTTCCTGCCCTCGCTAGCTCTGAACCATGATCCTCAGATCTCAGCCTCGGGAGTGGCTAGGATTTCAGGGGTGAGCCATAGGCACTGGGGTTCTGCTGCTACTTTCCAGGTGAAAAGGCACAGTTAGGAAAGCCTCTTGGACCTACCTTTATTCTCACAACTAGTTACCGATGGAGCTGCGCTCCTCGATTCCTGGCTCCAGACTTTTCCATCATAGCCAAGTTTCCCATCTTCTGCAGTAAATTTTTACAGGTCTGTAAAACTTTTTACCACCAAAGAGCCTGACCTTTTTAAACCTATAAACTTAGAAAAACTCTACAACCCCTACTAACATCTGGTTCCACCAGGGACCACCTGCCAGGGAAAGGCTGAGCAAGAGAAGCTTCTGGTCTGTCATCACAGGGCTAAGTACAAGATAGACTTCCCCCTCTACATCACCTCGAGGTGATACTGGCTCAGTGTGTCCCGGGGGGGAGGGGGTCAGATTTGGAGAATAGACAGATGTCCCAATGCCAAGGACCTCCCATGTTGAGCATGGAGGTTGAATGGTTCAGGGAATGTCTACATGTAGAGAGGGGAGAAGCCAGCAGGATAGGAAATGGCTGATAATTTTCCCACTTCCCCTGCCTTAAGAGGGAGGGGAGAACTGTACATAGTAACGTTCTCAACATAAAGAGCTATCTCTCTCTCTCTCTCTCTCTCACTTCTTTCCTTGGTGTCTCATTGTGTATTGCTCTGATCTTCGTACCACCCAAGTCCTGGGTCCATGAGATGGTCAATTCTGCACCATTCTACCAGCAGTAGTTACATTTACTGAGAATCTACCATGTGCCAGGCCCTGTGCTCTCTTCCTTCTCCTCTTCCTCCTGTTCCTCCTCCTCTTCATCATTGTTATTGTTGTTGTCCTCCTCCTCCTCCTCTTCCTCCTCTCCTTCCTCCTCCTCCTCCCCTTTCTCTTCCTCTTCTTCTTCCTCCTCCTTCTGTTTTGTCAGTCATAGAGCTTTAACTCAGGGCCCAGACTCAGTCACTGAGTTTTTTTGCTCAAAGCTAATTTTCTAGCACTTCAAGCCATAGCTCCACTTTCCATTTTCTGGTGGTTATTTGGAGATAAGAGTCTCACAGGCTTTCCTGCCCGGGTTGGGTTTGAACTTCAATCCTCAGAGCTCAGCCTCCTGAATAGCTAGGATTACAGTGCCTGGAATGTGCTCTTTTCTTGATCTAACTTATTTACCCTTTGCTTTTTCTGAAGATGTTATGATTTTATTCTCAGAATGCAGGCGAAGGAATTGAAGCAAAGAGATGTTATACAACCTGTGC